CTGCTGTTTCAGTTCAATTTTGGTGACATCATGGTGCTACAAGTAATTCATACAATCGAATTTTGCTTGGGATGCGTGTCTCACACTGCTTCCTACCTTCGTCTGTGGGCGCTGTCTCTGGCACATGCTGGTAATAGCGTTGCGCAGCACTATTCACTGAATCGAATGGGCCAGCCTTCCTTTAAACTAGAAATTTTTCATTAGAGCAAATTAGCTAATTTAGCGGCAAAGCGCCGTTAAGCATTCAAAGTGAATGCTTTGACTCCAGTAGTAGTTAATCAACAACTGCAATCATCTTCGACTGTTCTATTCTGACTGGCTGTAATCAGTGTAGGGTCTTTTCACTTATTGAAGTGGAGAATTTCTGCATCTCGCAAACAATCCAGAGATAAAATGTGTCGCAATACCATTTTACTCCTGAAAGTGGTGTAATATAAGGTCAGCGGGATGAAAATTCGAGATGTAATAAAAGCTCAAGTCAATTCGCAGTTTGTCTTTCATTCCTTCTAGACGTAAGTGGGAGCAGGAATCATTAGTACAGTCTTCTGCCTGTTAAGAAATAATCGTATTTTAATGAATGGGACCAGAATAGAGGGAGATTAATTGAAGATAATCAATGGAAGAAGTGAAGGAGAGAAATCAGGAAAGGGCAGAGGAGGGTATTTAAAAGCAAAATACGATAATTGGCCAACGCATGGGCTGCCCATCGAAGATTTATTTTTTGCATAGTTTCCCGCAATTTTTGTTGCTATCGGCACCGGTTTTTTCAGCAAATGCTTTTGCTTAACAAATTAAGATTGGCCGCCGTAACTGTCAGGAAACATCCCTTTAAAATTCCAGCTTTCTAGCTTTCCTGGCTGCTGAGTTAGCAACTTATTTGAAGAAAATTTTACGGGCCTGTACGTGGGTACCACGCATACCCGATGTCTGGGTTTAAGCTTGTTGAGACTTACGCGGATAGGGAGCGTCCTCTTAAAATTACAGTCTTTTAGCTTTTCAGGTTCTCGAGTTAGCAACTTACCCGGAAGAAACACTGGTGAGCCAGTGCGTGAGTACCACGCATATCCGAGGGCTGGATTTGAAGCTCATTAAGAATAATTTGGGCAGGGAACGTCTCCGTAAAATTTCAGCTTTCTAGCTTTTCTGATTCCCGTGTTGTCAACTTACCCAAAAAAAACTTTGGCGGGCCGTATTTGGGTACCACGCACCCGCAGTCTGGCTTTGAGCTCAATGGGACTTAGGTGGACGGGGACTGTCCTCTTAAAATTACAGTGCTTTAGCTTTTCAAATTTCCGAGTTACCAACTCACCCGAAGAAAATTTTTGCGAGCCCGTAAGCGGGTGCCACGCTAACCCGCGGGCTAGGTCTGAGCTCATTAATATCTATCTGGACGGGGAACATCCCCTTAATTTCAATCCCCAAGTATTTCTGGTTCCCGAGTTAGCAGCTTGCTCGTAAAAAACTTTAGCGGGCTCTTATGTGGGTGCCGTGTAGGTGAGACCGCCCATTTCGGAGATTTGAGCCCGTACGCGCATATAGATTAAGTTCCCAAAGTTTCAGCCCTGCAGCTTTTGTTGGTCTTGAGATGAAAAATCGGTTCAGACGCCCACACAGACACGCACGCACACACATCCCTCGTCAGTTTGCGTTTTTGCTTTGCACAGCTGCAAAAAAAAACGCATAAAAAATGACCATTGAAGCAATGTTGTTTAGGGCTAGTTATATGGAGGAAGTAGTTTCCACTCGCGGTTTGTTTTGGTGTGTCTGTCGCATTTGGTTCTGGCAATACAAGGAAATTGGTGTGTTAAGCTAGCAAAACAACATGAACGACAGTATGAACGCGATAGTCAGTGCTAACAGTGGGCTACTGAGTAGCTGGTTTGATACTACATAGGCTGTTACTGTATTGCCACCCAAGAATGAAATAAAGCACT